AGTAACATTGTTGGAAGATTATACAGATTTAGAGATTATAAACGAACAAGTGCAGAGGATGATGAAAAATACAAAAGTAGTGCTATGATTTATGATGATAATGATACGCGGATTGTATAATGTTAATAGAAAAAAATCATAAGACTTAAATTTAACTAAAATTTTAGAATAAATTACTTTGATTTGATTTAACAGAGTTTCTTAAATTTTTATTGTACGTAAACTTAAGTATAAGTCCTTACACCTTCCATCCACGTGACTGCAATTACCTTATTATTTCCTTTACCATTTTTATTTGTACATTTCATTTATATTTTATTTGCAAAATTTAAATTCTATCGAAGATGTTTTTTTAAAAATATTTAATATTATTTATTATTGAAATAAAGACTTTAACTGTTTTTTTCTATCTATACTATTGTTTAACTTCGCGACAGACTTTAACGGGTTGACAATTCCTAGTAATAAGAGGATTAAAACTCTACTTTTAATGAAATTCTTTTCACATTTTAAGCTTTGTATTTACTCATAAATGTATCAAGTGAGATACATACTATACAATTTAATATTAATAACTGAATTGATATATTGATATTTTTTTAAAAAAAACAAATAAATAATATTTCTAAATTTATCATTGCAAATATAAATAGCTCATTATACTGTTAACATCTATCGGAGTTAAATTTTCCGGGAAATATCAATAACCGGGATATGTCATTTGAAAATAGTAATAGTACTGTTATTTTTCAATGAATTATTTAAAATTACAATTGGTTTAAATATAATAAAAGACTGTGAAATTTGTTAAATCTAAAGATACATTTTGAAAATGACATTTGTAAAATCATTGATAATGTAGTTCCTCGTTTTTTTCTAGTAGCAATATAGCTTCCTCAAGATTTTCTAATTTAGATATTTCCAAAATAATGTAATTGAATTTTATATCCCCTCTTGTGGATAAGAATCTTTCGAAAATTTTCAAAACGTTCAAGCCATTTTTCGTTGCTTTGCTGCATTTTAAGCATGTAATTATAAAATGAAGTTGCTATTGTTTTTAATAATACTTTGGATGTTTTGGGTTGAAATATGGATTACTTAAAAGCTAAAGAGCAGTGTTAAATTATTTTGTTATTATTTGATTTCATTTTAATTTTTAGAGAAAGGTGAAAATTTTTATTAAAAAAAATTCATTGTTAACGAAAATTTAATGCATTGTTAGAGTTAGTAACACATTATATATTTCAAATCATTTTTTTTATCTTAATTAGTAACATGAAATATATTTGCTATTTCGCGGTAAATAACTATTTATTGTATATTAAAGTTTAAAATATCAAATAAAATATTCATATTATTTATCGTATTAGTATTATTACAATATTAGAAAAAATACTATTTTATTGATTCATATTAAAAGTAATTTTACAATTATTAAAAGTATTTCCTTGTAAGAATTTTTTAATAGTTTTCATCCAATTGTATATTATACGAATCAGAAATAGATTCTTTAGCGATAACTAGATAGATTTTCAAGTTGTAGGAATATTTTGAATCGTAAAATGTTGAAGTAAGACTAATTTAATGACCTAGTGACTATATTATTGAATTTTAAAGATTCAGGTCTAATATACATTAAGGAATTGGGTAAATTTGGTAAACTAGTTATTCGAGTATTGCTACAGTCGAGATTTATTAAGGAATTAGGTAAAATAGGCAAGGTAGACATCGGAGTATTGTTACATCCAAGTTTTGTTAAAGTGTTGGGTAAAGTCGGTAAACTATTTATTTGAGTATGGTTGCAGTGAAGTTCTTTCAAGGAGTTTGGTAAACTTAGTAGACCGGTTATTTGAGTATTGGAGCAGTTGAGATTAATTAAAGAGTTAGGTAAAAATAACAAGCTAGTTATTGAAGTATAAGAACAATTGAGAGTTGTTAAAGAGTTAGGTAAAGTTGGCAGGCTAGATATTGGAGTTTTATCGCAACGGAGTTCTTTTAAGGAATTTGGTAAAGTTGATAAATTAGTTATTTTTGTGTTATAGCAGTATAATTTGATTAAGGATTTAGGTAAAATCGGTAAACTAGTGATCGATGTATTATAGCAATGAAGCTCTGTTAAGGAGTGTGGTAATGTTGGTAAGCTCGTGATTCGAGTTTTGTAACAGTTGAGATGGGTTAATGATTTGGGTAAATTTGGTATACTAGTTATTGGAGTTAAATAGCAGCGAAGTTCTGTCAAGGAATTTGGTAAAGTTGGTAAACTCGCTATTTTAGTATCGTAACAATATAGATATGTCAAGGAGGTAGGTAAATTTGGTATGCTAATTATTTTAGTATCATTGCAAAAAAGTTTTGTTAAGGAATCTGGTAAAGTAGGCAAACTAGTTAATTCGGTAGAAGAGCAACGGAGTTCTTTAAGGGAGTTTGGTAAAGAGGGTAAACTAGTTATTTCAGTATAATCTAAGTGTAACGTTGTTAATTTTCGATATCTTTGTAATCCTCCTGCGGTGTTCAAGATGTCATTCTTATTATGCTTATATATCGTCAAACTTTTAATGGTATCATCATAAGTAATATTCGGTAGATCTTCATTTGATTCTTCTGATCCTGATCCTTCAAGAGTAATCTGATCAAAATTTTGAATCATTCGAGACATGTCCCCATGCATTGAGTTATTAATGCTAGAAGATACATTAACACTACTCGAAAGTCTAGAGAATTCTCTGTGCAATGAATTATTAATACTAGAAGATGCAATAACACTACTCGTATAACGATGTTGTGCTGATGATTGTGATGATTGAAGGCTTGCTTCATTATCAATATTCATCTTTTCATCTTTTGTCTTGTTCAAATTTGCGATAATTGAATTTAATTTGTCAACTACTTGATTCATTGATGGACGATTATCTGGCTCATTATCCCAGCATTCTAAAAATCATACATAATAAATTTAATTAAACTCGTAATTTTTTAAGTTATAACATAATTAAATTTATATAACATATTTACCGGTATAAATTTCTACATAATTTTCAGGTGTACCAGGAACGGCCTCTTCTCGAAGTCCTTTTGAAATTTCGATCGCTAGATCAATATCATATTGTTCACCTTCAACATAGAAAGGTTGACGTCCACTGGATATCTCCCAAAATAGTACGCCAACACTGTAAACGTCACTCTTCTCGGTTAGCATGAATTGTCGCGATGTATTTTCACTTTTTTTTTTTCTAGCAAATCTTTGTGGATCAATATAAGGAATTACTCCAAATACTTTTGACTGTTGTTTTGTTACCGCTTCAATCCTTTTCGATAATCCAAAATCAGCTAGTTTGATAACACCTTGACGAATTAAAATATTGCCGGAATGCTGTTATTGTAAAAATTTATAATTAATTATCAGCAAAGGTTCATATATAATAAAAAAAATAAAATATATATTATGAAAGCTTACCAAATCACGATGCACGATTCCTTCGCAATGCAAACACGACACAGCGCAAGCCAACTGGAACGCCAAGTTGTATTTATCACCCCAATTAAGATTAAGAAAATTCTCCTTCAAATAGCTTCCAAGCGCACCGCCATCAGCATATTCCATTACCAACCAATACTTTTTTAATTGATCATTTTGATTTTCTAATTTTTTTGTAATTTTTTAAAATATATATATATATATATGAATAAACGAGCTAAAAACAAAATATAAAAGTCGATAAAAATTATAAAGATTTTATACCTTGATTTGAGGTTATCCCAAAAAATCGAATAATATTTTCATGAAAATCCACTTCACGTTGAAGTTCAAGCTAAAATTATTTAGAGAATTTAAAATGTTAACTTGATATATAAATGATTTAATACCAAACAGAATGAAATAGAAAGAAAATCATATTATATTTTATATAATTACCTCACGAACAAGTTCTTTCATGGTGGTATCGCTAAAGTTATGAAAGGATTTTAATGCAAGATGTTGTTTTGAACCTTTCCAATTTGCACGATAAACTTTTCCAAAACCGCCGGTACCAACTTCTTGCACATTGCTAAAATGTTTGTATTCATAATATTTGATAAGTTTTTTTGAGATACATTCTTCAATCCAATTATTGTCAGCTTGCATTTTGATTTTGATATAGTGAAAAAATAATTTCTTGGTGAAAAAAAAATGCACTTGGTAAATCATGTAACATTTAAACTTCTAAGCCACCGTCAGCTGGTATGACAATGATCATCTAATAATTTTTTTGTGCAATTTTGTGATTCTATGCGCTGTGTCCGGCTCAAAAATTGAGTCGATTCACGATTGATCCTTTCGTTACAATTTTGCTCCGGGCTTAGCAACACAATTATTTCCGAAACCGTTCCCTAATTATTAAAGCGTGATGATTTTACACAAATAATTTTTTTTTAATTTTTCCCATGGATAAACATTTTAAACTAGGGTTCAAGTACGAAGCGTCCGAAGCGTAATTAATTATGTTACACTCAATCTTTATTGTGATTGGCTCATTTATTGTTATAAATTTTTACACTTGATCAATTTGATTGGGAGTTACACGCGGCGTGAAGGTCATGGGTCATGAGTGTAATTGGAAAGTTCTACGTTACACTTCGGATAACAAGTTAATAAATAGCTGCCATACATTCATTAAAAAAATTTTAAGCTTTGTATAAATTAACTATATAATTATTTTCGGGTATAATTATGTTTGTATATAGATAATTTGGTAACATGTTTCACTAAAAAAAAAAATCAAAGTAAATTTATTAGCTTGCGGCAATAATTTTTTATTAAAAAACCAAGTAACACAAAATTAAATTAGGAATTTAACACTGTATCGTCCCAAGTTTATTAGTAAATTTTCATCCACACGTGACCGGTGAAATTTTTAGCTTTGAAAAATCCCTTACAGTTCAACCTATTGCATAGTATATACCTGAGTTATCGATCAAGATCACAGAGATCCCAATCTCCACAACAGAAGCAAACATCAGATCCTCCTTTTCTTTTTTGAAGAAATTACACATTGTTCAATGATTATCAAGAATCTGTGAATCTGTGGTAACAAGTCACAATTACCTTTGACGTCAACTCAACTCAAGAATTACCATGGTTACTTCGTACTCAAGGATATAGTTCGAATTAGCTTACACTCTCCTCCTAATGATGAAATACAAGCTAAATCAAAATTTTCTTTGAAATTAACCAACTTGTCCATTGATAATAATAGCCGATCTGGTGTTTTGTATTTAAATCATACACTCTGAAGTAACTTTTTCTTTTTTATTGTATTTCTTATTTTTTTTTCTCAAATCACATTGACAGAATTTAAAAGATAATAGTTCATTATAATTTAAACATATTTGTCACAAAAAACAAGTGCCAATTTGTTATATTCTTGAGTAGGGTACTTTTTTCTTAGTCATGATGACAAATATAATGAACGCGATACAAAATTCATGAAATTAATTTACAAGATCTTGTGTTATGTGATTTGTGATTTGTTTTTGTCGGTCATCACACATATCATATATATGTTTAATGGGGACGTAGTCACCCGTATATCACAACTTCTATATTAAGTTGATATTTATATCCAATTAATTAAATGACCATGACAAACACAACACTGGTTTAAAACTTCTTCCTTCTTTCTACTGAGAAAATAACAAGCACCTAATTGATGAAAAAATAAAATTAGTTACGATTCCTGAGGTTTCAACAGGTGACAAAATCGAAATTAGTTTTAAGTTTTTCCAAAAATGTTTTTTAAGGCAAAACCGCGAAAATTTTCGGTTAGCAAATGTTGCGACAAATGATAAAGTTGTGATGGTGACAATTGTTTCGAAAGGTAGTAAGCCATCAAAACCTTTAGTAATTTTAATTACCCTCCAAACAAACTCTCTTCTCTCTCTTCTGTTATTTAATACAACCTTTTGGAAATTTCATGAAATATTTTCTTTAATCTTTGTCTAGGGTTAAATATCTCTAATACTGACATGTTAAAACATGTTGAGTTTTGTAATTTTTAGTTAAATTAAATCTTGAATCACAATTCGTCAAAAGTTTTGAACCATCGAAATCCAATGAATATTTATTATAGCCTTGATTAAAATTAATCCTCAGAATAATACTTTGGCAATGGCTGGTATAGCTGAATTATATTTGATCTAAGAATACCATGATGACTCAAAACTGAGAATATGTTGAATTAAAAATCGGTAATATATACTCCGGATGAAATTAATATTGGGGCAGAATTAAGAATTTAGGACCATGTTAAGTTCTGGCCGCGCCGGTTTGAGTTTATTAATGAAACTTCCTGTTAATTATTTTAATAAGAAGTCCTAATATAAATGAATAATTATTAATATTTAGCAGTAACTTCCGTCATTCTATTCACATGAGAAAAATAAATGTCTTTTAATCATGTAAATTAATTTTTTTTTTTTGACAATTATTTAAATTTAATTCACTAATTTTAAATCAACATTGTTTATATCTAAACTAAATTATATAATTAAGACTTCCTTCAATATTTAAAGTAGTAATATGAAGTTTAATTATTAAAAGCTTTTTTTTAATCTTTAAAGTGAAATAACGTTATAAATTTTCTAATTTTTTTTAAAAAAAGGTAAAATTGCCTGTCATTTTACATCATTTTTTTTTCAGCAAAATGTCTATATACTAGGCATACTTAAACGTAAAGAAATATTATCACGAAATCAAGTAGAAGGTTAGATATCGTAATATAGTTTTGAGTTTTAAAAATACATTGTCATCATTCAAGAGCCTTATCAAATATTAGTGAAGTTAAAACCCTCTCCAACGAATTTAAATTATATCAACGTCACGTATCTCATTTTGTATCATAATTAAATAATGATTCAAGATGAAATCAACATTCCGCAGATTTAATATTTCTTAAAAAATGTCTGTTAAAATCATGTACACAATTTTATATAAATTGTGACACATCGATAATAAGGATATCTGTTATTCGTAACGTAATTCGTTTCAAATATTGAAATTCAGTGTTGCAAATTCAGCAAAAATATTAGTCAAAATATCACTGAAAATACGCATTCTCATTGAATAAATATATTTAATAACAGTGAACTTGAAATAACCCAAATCACTATAAACGGCATCAGTTTATTATAAATTCTGACCAATGTCATCTAAAAAAAAAAAAAATTATTAAATGAGCTTATAATTAACCACTTCGTGATACAGAAAAATAAATAGTTTTTTTTGGTTTATCCAATTTGTGGCGCAGTAATTTAGTTAATCGAAACTACCCTGTGGCACCGACAAGCATTTCGCGATTACGTGATAATAGGCCTGCATTATGCATAACCCCTAACCATAAATCTCAAGGGTGTGACAGATAGCATGTGATAAATATTATTTCACGCCTAAAATAAATCAAATAAAAATGAAATCACGACAGCGTGATGGACTTTGATGGGCGTGATAAATAATCGCATGAACGTGATCGCGAAATTTTTGTTGGTGCCACTTGGGTTAGTTGTTAATCGAATTTACTGTGGAATTTATTTTTCCTGCAATGAATAAAAAAATATATCATTCCAAGTATTCCAAGTAACTTTCAATAATTTTATATTCATTGGCCTTTGTATGCTATATTTTGTTCAAACCAGGCGAGTAACATCATAATATCAACGATAAAAAAAGAATGTCTTCAAATGAGCATCACGTAAATACAATTTGGGAACTAATGGTGAAATATTACGCAAATAATAAAAAAAAATTTATTAATTATAAAATTGTTTCCACATAATTAAACTTTCTTAATCAAGGTACTTTTCTAAAATTGACATTGCAAAATAAAAGTTATAATTCTTTTAACGATCAAAGTTTTTCGAAAATTTGTGGATTAATAATGATTAAATATAATTATAAGAAGTCGCAACAACGGGCGGTAATGCCGCCGTCATTGGAAATACAACACTGAGAGCAGCATTTCACTACATCATCAATAGTTAATTGACATGGCTCATTATCAGGCCTACATACAGTGTTTGTGATTACTGCTGTAGTGGTGAAAGTAGCTGTAGTCGTGGTCGTCGTCGTGGTAGTAGCATCAGCTGTCAACGTTATGATTTGAGCTTTTGGACATTCTAAGAAAACGGTTGGAGTACAATGGACGACTCTTTTGCATTTTATGTTTCGATTGCATATTCTATATTCATTTTTGCACAATTGCTTGCCCGTATTACATTGATGGAATTTATTATCGCACATTTTCTCATAAGTTTGCTTGAGATTGAGATCTCTTTTACGGGAATTATTATTAACTTTATCAGGAACGCAAATGACAGGTTTTTTCTTATCCGTCCTTTTTTTTAATTGGACGGTGATTGTAGTGGAGGTGGTAGTGGTAATGGAAGAGGTAGAGATTTCCGTTACAGTAGCTGTTGCAGTGGTAGTAGTGGTGGTGAAACTTGCACAATTCGTGGGAGAAATGGTTTTTGTTTGGGCTCGTGTTTTGGTGATGGTTTGGCATTCTTCGGCTGATACCGATGATGAGAAAAAAAGACTCAAAACGACTAAAATGGTAGTAGCGAAAAGGGTATTTCTATTTAACCACATTTTGGAGGAAATCTTTTTTATTAAGAAGAGGAAAATATGAATTTCTGTATGAAGGAAAAAGTTTATGGGATAAAATACGATTGACTATATTTTTCGTTAATTTATAAACGTTTGATATGGTAGTAAATTAGATTTGTACTCAAAATAATTATGCAGTCAATTATTAAAATGACATATGGGTCGTTTGCTATTAGAATTGTGTGTTACGAGACATATTAAATCATATTATCTGTAACTTGATTTTAATAGCAAACTGCCCATATATTTATATTGATTGTTTGATTTTTGTCAGCAAATTCTTCTACTAAATTGTAAAGTATATAAAGACGAATGTTAGTTGAAATGCTTCTTAGAAATTATTTCTTTTCAATAATTTTATCTCGAGATATTAATATTTGACGGTGAGTTAAGTGAATTATTGTTTTTGTTTTGTCTCAATTGGAATCCAATTGTAGACCGACGGCTAGTACTTCCAGAATCGATTTTCAAGTAATTTGTTACTAAAAATAGGAATTCTTAATTAAAAGTTCAATTTGTTTTTAATTTCATTGCGTTCGTTAATAGGGTACGGAGACTCAGAGATCAGAATCGTTTGTCCTAGAAAAGAATCAGCGTGTTGTTTCATTTTATTTTTATCTTATACTTTTTTGTACCAGATCGTTACAGTTACAGTTGTTTCTGAGAACAATGTGCATGATAATAGATAATAATTAAATCCTACCTTGCATTTTGTAACTAACTTGTTACTAAATGTGTTAAAACCCGTTATTGCCATACAAACAAACAAAAGGCCAATGATGTGCAGTACAATTTTTATTGGTGCAATTTAAAATTAACGAAAACAAATTAATTATGAAATGTTTTTTTTTTTATTTATTTTTATTTAAAAATTTGGTAAGTAATTGATTGTTTATTTTATCCTTTAAAATACTTTTATTAATTAACAGCTTACTAATTTCTTTCTTAAGGATCGTACCGTACTACTCGTTGGAACCGGGCCAAAAAATCCTTAAAAAAATCTTTAACCAATTAACAGATAAAATTATTAACAGGTTCCAAACTCAGTCTTTTTGTTTAGCGAAGAATTATTTAATCATTTCTTGGAACAAATTTATGATATTTATATATTCTTCTGCTTTAATCGAGAATAAAAAGAAAATATTGTTTGTTCTTTTTTCTCTTAGAAATGAAAAAGGAGATCTTTGCTCCCTTTTTCTTTATGTCCATTTAGGATTGAATTGTTTACGTGAAAGTCAGTTGAGTCTTTAAATTTTTTTCGATTTTTTTTAGCTTTCTAAAGTTTTGGATTCGTTCGCATCAGGCTGCAGTGATAGTATGATTTTATTTTCCATGCGATATGTAGAATTTTTTCATATATATATATATATATATTTTTACGTTGTTTAGTTCATGCGAATTTTTCGAGAAACAATTTTTTTTTGCGGTTCTTTATGTTGGATCATTTTATAATATCAGTATTAGTTTTTCATTCCGAGGAATTTTTTTTAATATTTCTTTTTATTACTCAATTTTCTCTTTGTTGAAATACTTCGGAAGTAAGCAGTAAGTTTATATTGTTATTTCGTTGTTAATTTTTTGTATTTTCTTAATATCTGGTTTGATATAAAGATCGAAATAAATTTTGTTTGCTTTCATAAATTTGTGTTTTTTCTCTTTGGTTAAATGCATTCGCAAAAGGAGGTAAGCTTAATTTGTAAGTTTCATTTTTCTTTCTTTTTATATTTTCTTTTTTTGATTGCAGGATTTGGTTCCCTGTTATAGAATGAATTTTTTAGCTTTTAAACCTGAGGTAATTATTTTTTTTTGTTTTGTTTGCTTTTTATCATTTCGGTGTTGAGGTTAATCGCTTCACTTCATGCAGCTTCCAAAGTTATTTTTTCGGATTTATAGTACGTGTTGTTTTTAATACATACGCTAATTTCTTCTCTTTACGTTGGATTATTTTCTTTATTTATTTATATTTCATTATTATTCTGATATACATATATATATTGAGGATGATGGATCGTTGAGGCATATCTTATATAAAAAATTTGATAAATGTGACTTAATATTTTGTTAGAAATATGAATAAACACATTACAAATAATTTTTTAAAAATAAGATAGTTGAAAAGGCGGTAGAGGAACTTGACATAATCGTATAAGTATTGAAAAAGATATTGTTTATAACTATTTACTATTCATTTTTTATATAATTAGATGAATAGGATTTATTTTTTAAAGCAACCCTATATGTGTGACTATTAAAGAGGATATTTTATATAGGGGTGACTATATAGAGGGTGACGTTTTGTTAATTAAAGGTGGCTTAGAAACTTGATTAACGTTACATGATTTACTGCGAGCATATTTTTTTTTCTTTTTAAAAGAATTACAAGAATTTATTTTGCTATACAAGTCAAAATGCAAGGTTCCAACAATTCCAATGAGGAGGTTAATTGGATTGAAGAATCTATCTCAAAAAAACTTATTAAATACTATGATTACAAACATTTTAGCAATGTGCAAGAAGTTGGTACTGGCGGTTTTGGAAAAGTTTATCGTGCAAATTGGAAAAGCTCAAAGCAATGTCTTGCGTTAAAATCCTTTCATAACTTTAACGATACCACCATGAAAGAACTTGTTCGTGAGGTAATTACAAAGTATATTATTATTATGTATTTCATCTGTTTATTATAAATCATTAATGTTTCAAGTTAAAATTCATATTTGTAATAATTTAGCTTGAACTACAACGTGAAGTTGATTTTCATGATAATATTATCAGCATTTGTGGGATAACTTCAGATCAAGGTAATTCTTCATAATAAAAGTTTACATATCGAATTTTATATTTTGTTTTATCTCATTTTTATATTTTTTTATATTTTTTTATTAAAAAAAAAAAATTTAGAAAATCATAATGATCAATTGAAGAGGTATTTGTTAGTGATGGAATATGCTGATGGCGGTGAACTTAAAAACTATTTGAAGGATAACTTTGATAAATTTACTTGGAAAGATAAATACAATTTTGCATTCCAATTGGCTTGTGCTGTGTCTTGTTTACATGAAGAAGGAATTGTGCATCGTAATTTGGTAAGCTAGTATTATATAGTCTTTTTGTTTATTATTGTTGTTAATATCAATAATTTATTGTATATTTCTATAATAGAATTCCGGAAGTATATTAATTCATCAAGGAGTTATTAAACTATCAGGTTTTGGATCATCGAAAAGGATTGAAGCGGAAACTGAACAACAGTCATGTGTTTATGGAGTAATTCCTTATGTTGACCCGAAATTTCTTTACAGACAAAGAAATGACAATACATCACCACAACAAAACGAAAAAAGTGACGTTTACAGTGTTGGCGTACTCTTTTGGGAGATATCCAGTGGACGTCAACCTTTCTATGTTGAAGGTGAACAATATGATATTGATCTAGCGATTGATATTTCAGAAGGACTTCGAGAAAAGGCCGTTCCTGGTACACCTGAAAATTATGTAAAAATTTATACCGGTAAATATGTTATATAAATTTAATTATGTTATAACTTAAAAAATTACGAGTTTAATTAAATTTATTATGTATGATTTTTAGAATGCTGGGATAATGAGCCAGATAATCGTCCATCAATGAATCAAGTAGTTGATAAATTAAATTCAATTATCGCAAATTTGAACAAAACAAAAGATGAAAAGATGAATATTGATGATGAAGCAAGCCTTCAATCATCACAATCATCAGCACAACATATTTATTCGAATAGTCTTACTGCAAATTTCAGTTATACAACGCAATTATCTACAACGCAATTATCACAACTTATTCAAAATTTTAATTTGGTTCAGACGAATATATCTGATAATGAATCAGTTAATGAATCAGATAATGAATCAGTTAATAAATCAGATAATGAATCTGATAAAGAATCTGATAATGAACCTGATAATGAATTCAATAAACTAAATAATTTAGCTAAACGTTATCAATATGGATGGGAAGTTGAAAAGGATTTAGAAAAAGCATTTAAATATTATCAAATGTCAGCTAATCAAAATAATAGTGATGGACAATATAATTTAGCTGAATGTTATCGAAATGGATTAGGAATTGAAAAGGACCTAAAAAAAGCCATGTATTGGTATCAAATATCAGCAGAATGTGATAATAAAATCGCACAATATAATTTGGCTGATTATTATTATTATGGGTGGGAAATCGAAACGGATTTAGAAACAGCAATTTATTGGTATGAAAAATCAGCAGCGCAAAATTATAGCAATGCACAAAATGATTTAGGATATTTTTATGAAAAAGGAATAAAATTAGAAAAAAATTTAGAAAAAGCATTTTATTGGTATCAAAAATCAGCAGAAAATAAAAATAATGTTGCACAATGCAATTTAGCAATTTGTTACCGATATGGCTTAGGAATTGAAAAAGATACGTCTAAGGCATTTTATTGGTATAAAAAATCAGCAGAAAATAAAAATGAACTTGCACAATATAGTTTAGGATTATTTTATGAAGAAGGTAATCATATTAAAAAAGATTTAAAAAAGGCATTTTATTGGTATCAAAAATCAGCAGAAAATGAAAATAATGATGCACAATACAAGTTAGGGTATTTTTATGAAAATGGAATAGAAGTCAAAAAAGATCTAAAAGAAGCATTTTATTGGTATCAAAAATCAGCTGAAAATGAAAATAAAGTTGCACAATATAATTTAGCTAAATTTTATGAGTATAATATAGGAATTGAAAAGGATTTAAAGAAAGCATTTGAATGGTATCAAAGGTATAATAATAAGAATAAACCTGAAAAATGTATTGGAAAATATAATAATAATCAAAATAATGATCAAAGCAACAATGCAATTGAATTTATTAATAAAACCTTAAAAAATATAGTTAAGTATATATCTTTTAATGAATTTGTCGATTCGGTACAACTTGATAAAGGAGGTTTCGGAAGTATAACAAAAGCAATTTGGTTAAAAACTAATGATTATATTATATATAAAAAATTAATAAATACAAGTACTATTAAATATGATTTATTAAAAGCTTTTATTTGCGAATTAAAAATACATTTGCATCTTGATTATCATGATCATATTATACATTGTTTAGGCATTAGTCAAGGTAATTTATAATACTTAATTGTTTATTAAAAAAAAAATATATGCTTATTATTTAATATTCAATGATAGATCCAAATACAAATGAATTTCTTCTTGTAATGCAATATGCTAATGATGGTGATCTTCAAAGCTATCTTAAAAACAACTTTAATAATTTAAATTGGAATGATAAAAAAATGTTAGCATTTCAAATTGCAGATGGATTAAATTACTTACATAATAAAGATGTTTTACATAGAGATTTTGTAAGTATTATTTTTGATGATTTTTTATTAATTTTCATAATTTGGTATATTAATTATTTAAAATGACAAAATTTTATTTAGCATTCTAAGAATATAGTTATTCATAATAAAATTGCTAAAATTACAGATTTTGGTTTTTCTAAAATTGAAAATAATTCTACTATTCATATTGGAGTTTGTGGTAGAGCTGCTTATATAGAACCTCAAATACTTGCAAATCCCAAGTTTCAATATATTAAAGCTTCAGATATTTATAGTTATGGCGTATTAATGTGGGAAATTTCTAGCGGATACTCTCCATTTAATAATAATCCGAACATTATTGCTATTGCTAGCGGAAAATCTCGTGAAAATACTATAAAAGAAACTCCTAAAGATTATGAGATATTGTATAAAAAATGTTGGGATCAAGAGCCTAAGCAAAGACCAACTACCAAAGAAATACTCGAAGAATTTTCAAAAATGGGCTTTAGAAAAATCATTGATAAATCAGCAAAAAGTAAGTATTTATATAATGTATTAAATTTTTTTATTATCATATATAATTTCTTTAATTTATCAAATAGACATTAAAGAAGAAAAAGAAGAAGGTTTTGCTGAGGATGTAAGCAATAAAAAATCGGATTCAGAATCAACAATTGATAATATTCAATTAGGTACTGTTGAGGATTTATCTGGTATGTTAACAATTTGTTAGTATCATCAATTTCTGAAATAATGTTTAATTTCTTTTTCCTACTATTAGTTCCCTAATAGCAAAAGGCGGTTTTGTCGTTTCAAATAAAAAATTTAAAATTAAAAGTATAACAAATAAAGTAATTTCGTTGGCTAAAACAATAATTAAAAAAAAATTGTATAATATGATTTTTAAAATAATTTCCTTCTACTAAAAAATTGAGGTATATGTAGATACAAAAGTAGAAGAAAATGAATTTTTTATCTTTCGAATTAATAAATTAGCCACATGAATAAAAGTTATATTTATAACATTATATATGGCTGTATTTCTTATTTCTATTACACATCGGCGATTAATTTATTTACCGATAATTATATTGGTTTCTATATACATATTTTCATCCTATTTTTTCTTTAGGTTCATTCCGAGTTCAATTGTTTCAAGTTGTGCGTTATAGTGTGAGTTTTTCTTAGATTTCAATATTTGTTCTTTATTTTTTTTTTTTTGGTGATTTATCTGCACAATATTTTAATTATTAATAATATATTTTCTTTAAATGTACTTACATTAACCAATTTTCTGACACAAACACTTATATTATATTTTTTTAGCAAAGAAGTCCAGTAGGTTGTTCAAGAATCAACTATCAATCATCTATCGTTTCATAACTTCATAACTTTAGCAATACACAATGTTAAAGAACTTGTACTTGAGGAAAATTACAATTCATTATATGTGCTTCGATCTGTTTAGTGAAGTTACAGCATTTATATTTGAAATAAAATTTAAAATTGAATTAATTAAAACGAGCTTTTAACGGAAGGATAATTTTCATAGTTATCTCCTAAACAATCCTCGATAATTTCTCCACAAAAATAAACATACCCAAAAGCCCCATTTTATACTGCTACTGCTAAGTTCTTTGCCGGTATTCTATGTCAAATCAAATTTTCTAGAATGCCTGGATCTAAATATTCTTTAACTCGTCTCATACACACGATTTCTGATCCCTAAAACTTGGAAAATTAGTGCGAATTAGAGTAGTATATTTAGTAATACCACTTTCTGAAATAAATTTTTTACATAAAATAACTAAGTCTGTTAACAGGTTTCTTTTTCTAGTTTTAGACTCTTTTTCACTTGGTCATGCAGGACATAAAAAAGATCATACAACGTTTATTATACAACTATTCGAACTTAAACAAAAAAATATTTTTTTGAAATTCAAAGCTACCACACTATCACTCAACGCTTGGGATATTCAGGTAATACATCAGATCCTGTAGCAATGCACAGATGTATTAAGATCATAATAGAAATTATGGGCGATTATTAAATTTTTTTTTTGAATTTATTTTGAATTGTTTACATAAAAAATAAAATAAATATCTTAATTTATTTCATTATATTAAAAGCAAAATATAATTGAAATTTATTATTTATGATATGTTTATATATTTTTACTCATTAAATAATTGTGAATCATTAGCAAATCACGTGAAAGAAATTGAGAATCCTTAGAGAATCAAAGGGATTAAAGTTAATTGTTCGTCAAACTTGACTAACCAATAATATATTCAGGAGATATATTGAGAGTCAAGAACCGAGAGATAATAAAGTATCTATAGGAAAAAAAGGAAAATTGCAAGAAATAGAATAGTTTAAGATTAGAGCAGAAAAAGTATCATATTTATTTCTTAAAAAATGTATGATCCAATAAGATTATTCGGTATGATACCTACTAACTTTATCATTATGTATCGTATCGTACTATTTTTAAAATAATAAAGTTTCCTTTCCTTTGCAACCTATAAATAAATAAGTGAAAATAAAATTTTTAATCATTAATAAATTTATTTATCATGCAAAACGTTTGATAAACAATATTTTAATAAAATGTTTAAAAATATTTCTGTAGAAATTACAATAAAATTAAGATCATACGTTACATCTATTGATAATTTAAAACAATGCAAAGCTCTAAAGGTTCCCGTTACCTGGTTTTTAATTAAATTTAAGTTCATATTTTATCGGTATAAATAATTAAATAATCTTCAAATATAATCTTTTCCCTAAGACCATAAAAAATAGTTATCTGTACATTAATTAGTTCCACCAATTTTGGATTCATGACTGGTATGAATTTTGATAATAAATAATGGAAACTAATTATAAAAAATTGGTCTTTAAGTTTCTTCAAATCACTCTTCAGATTCTAGTAAAAGTAACAAGTAAATGTGGTCATGAATAAATTCATTGAATGTACATGATGACGGGTACCATGCGTACTCCCACACGGGTTTGTGATGTGGCAGTCTACTCGGGTATTTGACAATCATGTACCTAGGACTCGCATACTCATTATAACGAATCAACGCAAAAATTATATATGAAACAAGTTTTTTTCATTAAAGTTTTTTCAGATTATTAATTGTATTTAAAATAATATCATATTCACAATCTTCTAAATTGAAATCAGAATAATAAAAAAAAATTAGGTATTATGGTATAAAATGATCCAATGAAAATTGAATTTAAAAACCTACTTGTTCTTTATTTTCATACTTAGAATATCAAAATTATAGGTGAACTCATTATCTTAAGCATACATAAACTATAAAGTTTTTTTTACCTTCTTATTTCAGAAGATAAGAAGATTATTTATTAAAACGATTGCAACAATTTACGATGTTAACGAAAATATAAAAGGACGAAAAAGACAAAATACAACTACTGCCTCAGCCGGCGCAATATCTAGATTTCTTTCTTTTTTTCTTTTTTTTTTTACTAAATTCTTTATTTATTATTTTCATACATTTTCATTAATTTCCAAAATTAATTATTGATTTTAGATGCGATTGTAAAATGTAAATATGATTACTCTATCCTGGAATTGCACCGTATTAATCTACACAAAAATATTCATTCAATCTGATGAAAATTGCAAACACTTAAATTTTAAAGGTTGAAGCAATGATTATATGCAATGATTATCTAAAAAGATGTACAATAAAATCTGTACATATACTTATAAATAAAAAAAAATTATTAAGTTATTGATTACAAGTCGATAATTATTGTGTGAATTTCTTTTTTATTGAAAAAAGTATATTGTGAACTTACAAAAAAACAAACGACCAATTTTTTCAAAATATATATATGACTTTTAAAATCCCACATCGTTATCGCTAAAATGTCCCGTAACAATGTATGTCGATCATTGAGTGATCATTTTTTTCGAAATTTTGACAAGCGCGCTACCGAACTTTGACGCACAAATTTTATATAATGATAATCAAGACATATTTTCATAATAATGTTAAATTTCGTAAAAATTCAATCACTAGATTTTAATCAAGCCTCGTTTGAATATTCGCAAAAAAGTCTGGCTTAGCTTGGATTGGTTTAAAGTTTGGATTGGCTTAAAGCTTAAGATTCACTAAGCATTAAGCAATGAACAGCAGTATAAAATACGCTCGACTTCACAAGGTTTAAAAATAAAAAATTTCCACCATACAAAAAAGTGACAATCAAAATGAAATCTAACTTTTGTTACTCTTGTTCCTCTTAACAACCCTTGCTATTGCATCATCTTCAGGGCGTTGTTAGGTGACTATAATTGCCCTCCAGGTCAATTCTGTGGCCTTGCAGGTGTCACTTGTGGAAGATTTAATTTTCCAGGTGAATGCATGTAGGTTAAAAGAGATTTTTTTGTTATTTTAATGTAAATTAGATTATTACTGTATGTTAATTTCAACTCAATGTATTAGGGCCATAGTGAATGTACAGTATATGTTCAATGTATTGGTTTAGATGGACTGTTTTTTTTTCCTTCATTTTATTAAAATTTTGATTTATATTACACAGATTATTCAAGATCAACTATTTGAAACAATAAACTTCTTCCAAAAATAGATGTAGATTTTCTTTTTTTATGCTTAGTTTAAATTTCAGTAACTAACAAAATTTATTGCGAAAATAAAATTTTTATATCACTTTTTTTTTTTTTTATCTTTTAAATTAAATTTAAATTTTCATTGAAATTTCGTCCTAACAAATAAAAATTGAAAATGTCTTTCATTCGCTAACAAACTATTAATAACAGTATCATTAAACTTTTTATAATAAAATGAAATATTGTATGTAAAAAATATAAAGATAAACATCAATTTATTTAATATAAAAAACGACTAAAGGAAAAATACATAATAAAAATATAAAAATGTCCAATTTGTTGCACTCATTTACTAGCTCTTATCGTCATCTGAGAACATGTCTGTACCAAATATTTATGTTCGTATCAGATTTGTAAAAATAAAATATTCAATATCCTAACATCCTACGAATTTTTTTTTTTATCACACAGAAGGCAAACTTCGGTACAAACATATAAAACATTGTAAACATTTTTTCGAAAAGAAATGAATTCTTTGCGCAGCATTTACTTTCCCTAGCGTAACAAATTTGAGATAATAATATAAGTAATGATGATGTTAATTCTTTGAAATTGAATACACATCTAAATGGAAATGTTACGGAATCAACCAAAACTTGTATTTAAGTTTACACTTTAATCAATATAATATCTAACATTTCTTAAATTCAAATTTTTCAATAATTTAACGAAATACAAAACGAAATTAAATAAAACCCAACCTAAACCTTTAATTGATCAGAAATTTATTTGTTAAAGAAATTGTCTTTATTTACGTTTTAATCTTTGACATTATCTGCATCAACATCATATATTTGACAGCATCAGCATCATCAGCTTCAACATCGACTACTTATTTGGACAGCATCAGCTTCAGGCCAGAACCTCGTCCACCAACCTACTACGAGTTCGCACCAACTCCTAACGGAGTTCCGTGCTTCTCTCCTAGTAGCTTCACTTACGAATAATAGAGATTGAAAACTTTTAATGAAATTTTTATATTGTAAAAATATTTTCCTGTTTTAATATTAATAAAAATAAACAAATGTCGATAAAGAAGAAAATTAGATCGTTTATGTAACGTATATTGCTACCATAGTACCCCTCGCATAGTACCCTCCAAAAAATATACAAGGTGCCGCCGAACTGATTTATTTTAATCATTTTTATTTTTTAAAATAAATAAGACTAATAGTAACAATCTAAATCTTCCCTTAAAAAATAATTAATTTTTAAGGCAGTGAATATGAAGCAATAAATTAAAATCACCTATTTTCCCGATCTATAGAGAGAAATGACAGAAAGTCAGAACTTTCAGAAATGACGGTAATATAACACAACTGATAACCAAGTAATTCTGAAGCTAGGCGCAGTTGTTGTCCATTAATTCTCTTAATTTATTAAAAAAAAAACTTAAAGTACTATATGCATGAAAATATTTCATTTTGTAATTATTGATTCTTTTAATTAATTTCAATTAAAACGAATGACTCAAAATAATATTATTTTTTTTAAAACAATATAAATTAGAGAGAGAAAGAAATATTTTAATAAAATAATTTTTTTTATTCAACTATTTAATTTAAATTTAATCTTTCTTGAAAATTTGTTTAATATGCTCGTTTTGGGGAATATCAAAATTTAATGCTCATTTACTTGAAATTTATTTATTCTTAGTCGACCCATGGTGAAGCATATTTAATATCTGGCTAATTATCATAAATTCTATAAAATTATGGAAGTTAACTAGGTAACAGTCTCGTAAACCGTTGTTAAGTCCGGAGCAGCAGTAACGGAAAAATCCATTCAATATCGACTATTATTGAGCGGGCGGACATCCGGACAAAATTTACACTTTGCGTATATATAGTCCTTCGTTACACTACGGATTAATTACTATAGTTTTCTTTCAATATACTATATTACATAATTAACATGTCTTAAAAATCTGTATTTTTTATTTCAAATGATAACCATGTCAAGTATAAAGTGCAACTTCTAAAGAACAAACAACAAATGTGGCCAGCTTCAGTCAAGTATTATTTTCATTTCTTTGAATAGAGCTTGCACAATGATTATTACAGTAGACTGCCAACATGAAATTTTCATGGCTTTTGCTAAGAGAAATTCTAATTTTTATTTGAAATAAAATCAATTGAAACTAAAAATAAAATAAAATAAAAAATGATATGATATAATTCATGATCATAAAAATATGGTATAAATAATTAAAATAAATATAATCATGTGTTAACACAAATGATAGTGTAACGAAATTTGAATTGTAATATTTTGTACGCACTGAAGATCCAATATAAATTTTTTGCAAATTTTTGTTTGTATTTCACGACATATAAGGTAAAAGCTATTTAAGCCGAATGAATTAATTATTTGAATTGTTGGAAATAGAAATTCTTTATTAAATAAACATGTCAAAAACTGAAACAAAAAATTCCTACGCCGATTTTGATTGGTTAGAAAGAGCGATATCGGAAGATTATATCAAGTATTATGATTTTGGCGAGTTTACTAATTTGGAAGAAATCAGCAGTGGTTCTTATGTAAATGTTTCTTGTGCAAAATGGAAAGGCTCTGAAACTATCATGGCTCTAAAACATTCTTTTAATTTGACTATTAAGGAGATTGTTAATGAGGTAAACTTTTAAAATGAATTCTTTTTAAAATTAACAAACATATTAACTTGTTTAGGATTTAAAAATTAGATAAAAATACAACGGGAAGTTGATTATCATGCAAATATTATAAAATTTTATGGGATATCAAAATCGAATTTAACAAACAATTATTTGTTGGTTATGGAATACGCTGATGGTGGGTCATTGCAGTCATATTTGAAGGAAAATTTTAATAAACTTGAATGGAGTAATAAATATCAACTAGCTTTACAACTTGCAAATGCTGTAGCATGCATACACAATGAAGGAATTATTCACAACGATTTGGTTAGCTAATTTACGGATTGTTTTTGTTTATTTATCGTTTGTACAATTAACTTAATAAATAACTTATTGTTATATAGCACGCACAAAATGTACTTGTACATCAGAATAATATAAAGTTGGCAGATTTTGGTTTATCGCGAAAAATAACTGATGCATCAAGTTATTCAACAGATGTGTTTGGTGTTGTTCCTTATGTTGATCCAAAATATTTAAATAACATTAAAATTAAAAATATGGACCAATATTATGCGTTAAACCCAAAGTCTGATGTTTATAGTGTTGGAATCCTACTTTGGCAAGTTTCAAGTGGTCATAAACCTTTTTATGCTGAACATGTAGAATATGATGCTAATTTAATAATGAAAATTGGAGAAGGGATGCGAGAAAAAATTGTCTTGGATACTCCAATCGAATACAGCAACTTGTATGAAGGTAAATTTCAATTTATTTGTTTTTTTAATAATCTATACTTTAATTTCTTTTTTTTAAATTTTTACTAGCATGTTGGAAAGATAATCCAAATGAACGTCCTACAATGCAACAAGTTGTTAAGTCACTTCAATCAATAATTTTTGGAAAAAATGATGACGAAATGGATTACATTATTCATTCTGATAAAACAAAAACAGTAAACACAGAATGCATATATAGTAATAATTCCGAATTATTTTTAAGCAAATTAATGCAGGATTGTAATTTGGAAACAATATACAATGAATACAGTTTACAACATGTTTTAATTCAAGCAGAAAAGTTATTTATGGAAATATATGATATGGACGATAGTATAGATATCCTTGTATGTAAGCTAATAAGACTGATAATTAAAACACATGATGAAGGAAATAATTGCAATGAAACTGAACATCTTATTAATCATTGTATATTTCTTTCAAATCGAACTTCGAATGAGATCTTTGAATGGCTTAAAGAGCATCAATTGAACTCAAAATATCAATTTTTCTTGGGATTTTTGTATTTCAATTTGGAGAAAAATGACAATGAAGCATTTAAATTATTTTTAAGTTCTTCCGAAAGTAATTATCCTATTGCACAAGTTTATGTTGCAAGTTGTTATAAAGCAGGATTCGGAACTGAGATAAATTATAATCTCGCTTTTAAATGGATGCAAAAAGCCGTAGAGAATAAAAGCATTTATGGACAAATTAATCTTAGTAATTATTATGAAAATAGTATAGGTACAAATGAAAATTTAGATAAAGCTTTTAATTTGTATAATGAAGCAGCTAATAATGGAAATTTATGTGGATTATTTAATATGGGTCGATGTTATGAACTAGGTATAGGTATAAAGAAAAATGAAAGTAAAGCATTTGAAATTTATAGGAATTTTCATGAAAAAGAATTTATAAATGGAAAATATAAGCTTGGAATTTGTTATTATTTTGGAATTGGAACTGAAATCAATAAAAAAAAAGCATTTGAAATTTGTAAAGATTTAGCTGAAAAAGGATATGACAATGCGCAAGCTTTTCTTGGTTATTTATATGAACAGGGTGAAGGCATAGAAAAAGATTTAGGAAATGCCTTTTATTGGTATCAAAAGGTAACAGAAAAGGATAATATAATTGCAATGAATAATTTAGCTTTATGTTATCATTATGGAGAAGGTATTGAAAAAGATTTAGAAAAAGCACTTTTTTTATATCAAAAAGCAGCAGAAAATAATAATATATTTGCAATGAATAATTTAGCTTTATGCTATCAATATGGTGATGGTATAGAAAAGAATGTAGAAAATGCATTTTATTGGTATCAAAAAGCAGCAGAAAATAATAATGTAATTGCTATGTATAATTTAGCTTTATGTTATCAATATGGAGAAGGAAAAGAAAAGGATTTAGAAAAAGCATTTTATTGGTATAAAAAAGCAGCAGAAAATGATAACACAATTGCAATGTATTATTTAGCTTTTTGTTATGAATTAGGAGAAGGAACAGAGAAGAATTTAAAAAATGCATTTCATTGGTATCAAAAAGCAGCAGAAAATAATAATATAGCCGCAATGTATAATTTAGCCTCATGTTATGAATTTGGAGAAGGAACAGACAAGAATTTGAAAAAAGCATTTTACTGGTATCAGAAAGCGGCAGAAAATGATAATAATTATGCACAATATAGCTTAGCAATATTATATAGAAAAGATGACAAAACAGAAAATAATTTTGAAAAAGCATTTTATTGGTATAAAAAAGCAGCAGAAAATAATAATAAATTTGCAATGGTTAACTTAGCTTTATGTTATCAATATGGAGAAGGAATAGTAAAAGATTTCGAAAAAGCATTTTATTGGTTTCAGATGGCAGAAGAAAATGAAAATGTTGTTGCGAGTTATTTTTTAGCTTTATGCTATCAATATGGAAAAGGAACTGAAAAGGATTTAGAAGCAGCTTTTTATTGGCATCAAAAAGCAGCAGAAAATGACAATATTGCTTCACAAAATATGATTGCAGTATTATATGAAAAAGATGAAATAACAGAAAATAATTGGAAATTAGCACTATATTGGTATCAAAAAGTAGCAGAAAATGGATATATTAGAGGACAAAACAATCTTGCATCTTTGTATGATAAAGGTGAAAAAGTAGAAAAGGATTTAGAAAAATCGTTTTATTGGTATCAGAAAGCAGCAGAAAATGATTATGAAATTGCAATGTATAATTTAGCTAAATGTTATCAATATGGAAAAGGAACAGAAAAAAGTTTAGAAAAATCCATTTATTGGTATCAAAAAGCAGCAGAAAATGGTAACGAAATTGCAATGTATAATTTGGCTAAATATTATCAAAAAGGTGAAGTAATAGAAAAGAAAATAGAAAAAGCCATTTACTGGTATCTAAAAGCAGCAGAAAATGGCATTATTGATGCACAAAAAAGTCTTGCATATTTACATGAAAAGGGTGAAGGATCAGAAATAAATATAGAAATACTATTAAAAAAGCCGTAGAGACGGATATCAAGAATATTTAGAAAATCATTTAGATATATCTTATTAATAATTATCCGAAATTTTATCATATTTATTATTTAAAATTGTTAAGATGTTAAAACTTAAATTTTAGTATTAACATTATCAATTATTATTTATACAGTACATATTTACTTTTAGAAAATGGTTTTGACAAGAACGGTTATGAATTTTATTGTCATTTATGATTTGTTAAAAATTTATTTTTATTTCTTCAATTCTGTACGCAAATGCCAATTTTTTTTAAGAATCATACGCTGCAAAATTTATTTCGTAGCACTTTTATTTGTAAACTTTGTATTTTGCGCAGTAAATGCAATGTAAATGCTTGCTAATTTTTTTAATCGAAAAAAATTTTTTATGGCTAATTTAATGTGGGACAGTTATCCAATTCCATATTAATTTATAAAAATCGCAATGATTATTATTAACTGAAAGAAAGTATGTTCGAAAAAGCTTGTACCACCATTGATTAAGCTAATATGAGAAAACATTATTTTCTTATCGAAACAACAAATTATTTTAATTTGTAATACTAAGCATTAATAAAATCCAAACTGGTTAGATCGGAAATAAATTAACTCAATTTAATTGAAAAAAAAGTATGTGTGAGCTTGTCAATAGAAAGGGAGGAAATCTAAAAAAAAAAAGTTTTTGAGTTAATGTTAAATCTGAACTTATTTTACTAAAAAAATCATATTTAGCATATGAACTAAAATTTTAATTTTTTTAGATTTCCTCCTTTTCTATTGACAAGCTCCCATGTATGAAATCAAGTAGATTTATTTAAAATAGCACAATACTAATAAAACCAATTTAAAACAACGTAAATAATGTATTTCCTCTATATACTATATTATATTTTTGATTATTAAGATTTCGATATTACAATTAATTCTAAATTTAATACTATGAAACTTTCTTGACATCAAGGCCTTTCTCCTTTAGACAATACCCTCCATTCAAATTAATCGTGTTGAATATTTACCAGATGTTAATACAACTCGTCTTCAATTTATCATTAGATGAATTATGGTCAATTCAACAGATTCAGTTCAAATTGCACCGATACTTGATCCTTAATTTAAAAATTCTCAATGGGATAAAAGAGGCAAAGTGTTAATGCATGCAATCTTTTACAAAAAAAATTAACACTCAACAAACATCCTCTATTCCTGATTTGTATAAAATAAGGAATGTTAAAATGATTTTTCTAAAGATTTTGAAGGAGCTTCTGATTGAAGTTGAGGAGGAGGATGAAGTATTACGTTATATGAAGCATCTACAAATTTATATTTTTGTTTTTGCACAAAAATGTTTGTCAATTCCTGCAACCTCCTGTACCTAACGAAAGATTATTCTTAGATGATGGTTTACCGAGTTATTTTCAATGCAAGTAATAAATTGCATTCATTGATATGTGATATGAATGTATGAACAATATTTATAATATTCCAATATAATAATAACTGCAAATTCGGTTTTGCGGTTTTATTAAAACCGAAAAACCGGTTCAACCAAATTTATTTAAATTCCGGTTCTTAAAAATAAATCCGGTTCTTGCTGATAATGACTTTATTCAATTGAATGAATAAAATATTTGTTTTGCAAATAATGATATACATAGTATCAGATAGTTTCATAATTACATTTAAACAAAATTATTGATATATTCTCAAATCTCGTATAATTTTCCAGCAATGTTACCAAGTATACATAAACAGGACGACATAAGTGTTAATAAAGGTATAACGTCGTAATATACCACTCGTCTATAATATAAAATCTATTGAAAGGTTTTAGAATTATATTAATGAAAAACTAAATAAAATAAAAATACATAATATTAAAATAATAATATTTATACCTGAATAACTAATTGAGGAATATCTTCAAAAATAATATTAAAACAAAAGATCCCCAATAGATTCGTTTTAATGCTTCTTCAGAAAATTTAACATTAAAAATATTAAATCCTCCAATTCTTACTTTAGATTCGAGTACCTTTAACACACCAACTTCAGATCCTGCAAATAATGTGAATATTTCTAAAAATTTTCTATTCTCACGTGACCATTCAAAAAATTCTCTCGTTTTTTCTTCTTTTTTTGATAATTATAAATGCAATTATCACACTTATGACAAACGGAACTATAGAAAATATGAGACTAGAAGAAAAAATTAACATTTTTTTTTTATTTTTTTTTATTTTTTTTAAGTTTAAATCTATTTACCTTGGAATATATAATACTTCAACGTTTTTGGCCTTTTTAAGAATAAAGGTAATATCCATGATAATATCGAAAATAACAATACTAAGTTGAAAAATTGCAGCATTATTAGCCTGTATCATGATAAAAACGTAAAAGCATAAAATATGTAAATAAGAATTTAAATTTTAAATTTAAAATTTTTTTTTCGATAAAATATATTATTCTTTATAATCATTACATAAATATTTTTTTTCTTGGCGTAAAAGAAAATTCCAACCAATATGAATGTTACTAATAATGCTCCCATGAGACCAGGTCCATAGGTTTTCCACAAATTGGCTATTTATAGGTTCAGGAATTCAAGTAAATATATTTAGCTCTTATTTGAGAGACGTGAAACATATGAATGAATACTTACGAAGAACTTGATATCCATAATCTTCATCTAAATATTTTAAAGTTTCTCCTGATGCGATCATAGTGATACGTTTATTCTTAATCATATTATCTAAATCATTACTTATTAGGCTAACAGATCTTCCCTGTTCAGTTCTATCCTTTTTAACATCAATGGATAAAAAAAATTTGTTTTTGAGAAACTGAAGTATCAATTTCAAACACTTCATTGGTATTTATGCGATTAGGACTAATAGGAATTGCATCAACTAATTCTTGTTTTAATTTCGTAAGAAAAACTTTTCGATCGGTTTCATATAGAAAATTCTTAGTCCCCTCTGGAGTCAATCGAACTTGTCCCATAATGTCATTTGAACTAATTTTAATTCGTGTATCTATTTTGAAAGTTATTAGAATGAATAAAGTAATAAAAGCATTCGTAATTGAAGTAATTAAAAACTTACGTAATGTTGTAAAAGACCACACATGGCTCTTTACACCATATAAAGGTTCTCGATAAATTTGATCCTTTACAAAATTATCATCAATTGGAACATTGTATCTTTTACCAGGCTTATTAAATGTGGATTTAAGTATGACAACTTTAATTGTAGTAGCATCATCATAAGATACATATTTGCTGTCTATTCCTGAAGTTGTTTGACGGATATTGCCATCATCTTGGAAAATTGTTATGTAACCGTTTGATAATTCAACTTTATTAAAATACTTGATTTGAAGGAATTCTAAATCAGATGTAATCATATCATTAATT